CAAGCTACTACACCCCCCCCCTCCTACCCCACCCCCACAATATAAATCCACTTCAAAGAAATTCTTGAATTTGTTCAGTTTTTCTGAAATCAAGAATGATGGGTAATAGAGATCTGGAGAGGGAAGGTGGAACAAAACCAATAAATGGGAGTTACCAACCACCCCCCACAACAGCAGCACCTTATTATATGGAAAATTCTGAATCACAGTGGACTTCTTGGCTAGTCCCTATGATTGTTGTAGCCAATGTAGCTATGTTTATTGTCGTCATGTTTGTTAACAATTGCCCAAGTAATATCAATAATTTTGGCAGTGGTGGACGACGCCAGTGTGTTGCCAGGTTTCTTGGGAGGCTTTCTTTTCAACCTCTTCAAGATAATCCACTTTTTGGACCCTCTGCATCCACGTAAAGTTTAAACCTTTTTTGATCTAGTTTTTGTAATGATTGTTCTTTTTATGGATTTTGATGTTTATTGGCCTGTCTGATTTGATTGTGTTAATTGTTATGTAGTATAACTTATGGAGGATGAAGGTTCTTCCTTATTTGATGTAGGTTTAGTGGGGTAATATGGATTCTTGATTTCTATGGTTTTGTATGTCAGCTAATCCTCTCAAGAAAAGGAAAAAGATTGAATTTTTAACATACCTGTCATACCTAGTGTAATTTCACAAGTGGAGTGTGGGATGGTTAGATCATAGATGTATGCAGACCGTATCACTACCTTTGTGGGATAGAGAGGTTGTTTACGATAAAAGGAAATTCCTTTGTGGGGTAGAGAGGTTGTATCCGATAAAAGGCAATACCTTCGGGGTGGCCCAGTGGTTTGGGCTTGGGACTTCCATGTGGGAGGTCTCAAGTTCGAAACCCCTTGCCAGCGAAAGCAAGGGGTTTGCCTTCTGGGTCGAGCTCGTCGCACCAGGCTTGCCTAGTGCGGGTTACCTCTCCTATGTGGTTTGCGAGCTATTGCATAGGAGCGGGGGTTTTACCCTGTGCGCACCCAAAGGGTAGTGGCTGCGGGTTTCCCTTGTCATAAAAATAAAATAAAAATGATGGCAATAAACATGATAGTATCACAAGAATGGGATGTAAGCTGTATATTGCTGTAACTTCTTCAATGAAAGTGAGGCATCTAGATGTACACAAAAAAAACTATTTTGAATAACACATAGGTTTAGGTTTGTCTAATATGCACACTTGTAATTTGTCATCTCAGTGGTAAACAGGTTTGGAATGCTTTTTAGGTTTGGATTTCAAATCACCACATTCAAATGGGATTGCATTTGGGTATTGGCTAGTTCTTCCAAACATCAGACAAACGAAATAGTAGAAAATTAGCTACTAAATTATGACACATTTTCTCTCTTTCCCTGCACCTCCAAATCAAACCTTTTTCCATTGTCAGAGATGTGAACTAGCTGACAGTTACATGGATGAACATTTTTTTTTTTGATGACAAGGGAAACCCGCAGCCGCTACCCTTTGGGTGCGCACAGGGTAAAAACCCCGCTCCTATGCAATAGCTCGCAAACCACATAGAAGAGGTAACCCGCACTAGGCAAGCCCGGTGCGACGAGCTCGACCCAGAAAGCAAACCCCTTGCTTTCGCTGGCAAGGGGTTTCGAACTTGAGACCTCTAGCATGGAAGTCTCAAGCCCTTGGTAAAATTTTACAAAATTAGGCACATTTAAGAGAGTGCTTTTGGCGGAAACTTAACAGCAATCTCTAATGGAGAATTCCCTTCCGCCATCTTAAGAGTGTTTGTGCTCATGATGGGAATTTGATAGCCTTTTTTTTTCTGGGCATTTTGGAGATAAGTAGATCCCTTGGGATAGCGGTTGTGATGCATTAGTTGTTGCTATATTGGTTCCATTGAGTATCAAGTCTTCTGGAGTTAAATGGGTGAATGTGCTATTGCTAACGTCCTACTTACTGCTATGCCACGCACAGATGTCACTCATACTGGAAATATAAAATAAAATGAAATAGAAACCAAAAGAAAAAAAAAATGGAAGACAGATATATGAACTGCAATATATTCATTCTTCCTTGTTCTTGTGCAGACTACAAAATTTGGGAGCTCTAGAATGGGATAAAGTAGTCCACGGACATCAGGGCTGGAGGCTTTTCACTTGTATCTGGTTACATGCTGGTGTTGTTCATCTGCTTGCCAACATGTTGAGTTTGGTATTCATTGGAATTCGCCTTGAGCAGCAGTTTGGATTTGGTACAGTTCTCCTCCCTGTGCCCTCAAATCTTTATTCATGTGCTTTTGGATAACTATTACACAACAAATGTTTCTTTATGCCTAAGCAACCCATTCTACTTTCCTCTAAATTGTGCCCGTGTCTAGCTTCCTCGGCTCCGTTTGTCATTGCAGGTCATCTGCTGAAACAGAAGTACTGTTTTTACTTGCAATCTCTTTAACATCAACAATTTCAGTCACTTCTTTCTGAAATATAACTCCGCCTTCAATTTTCTTAACCTTGAGCTGACTAGTGTCCTAATTCACTTTTGTTCTTATGTTTATGTCTTCTATTACTTACCATTCTCTAATGTTATGTGCAGTCCGGGTAGGGATTATCTACCTTTTGTCAGGAATTGGTGGGAGTGTTCTTTCTTGCCTTTTCATTCAACGTAGCATCTCCGTTGGAGCTTCTGGTGCTCTATTTGGACTTCTCGGAGCAATGTTATCGGAGCTGCTTACTAACTGGAGTATATATACCAATAAGGTATAAACTCTGCTATTCTACTGTTTTTTTAAAATTATTATTATTATTTGTGTTCTTTCCCCTGTTGAGGAGGTTATTCGTTTTATTCTATAACACGTTGTACGTACTGAATTCGGGTACTAATTAACCTCATTTGTACAGGCTGCAGCTCTTATCACTCTCATTATCATCATCGCGATTAACTTAGCTGTTGGTCTTCTTCCTCACGTCGATAACTATGCCCATATTGGAGGTTTCATGAGTGGTTTCCTTCTTGGCTTTGTTCTGCTACTACGACCTCAGTTTGGTTGGCTCGAAAGGCAACATCTTCCAGCTGAAGGTCGCCTCAAGTCCAAGTTCAAAGCTTACCAATACGTCCTCCTGCTGATTGCCTCGATTTTGTTGATTGTCGGGTAAGCTCTATCACTACTACGCCTAATCCTACATTTGCCTTACAGCAGCGTCTAAAAAATAAGTTAGAACGGTTGGTAAATTTTAGACGATCAGGATCAGATGTTGAGTACCCTAACTATGCTTTGCATATAGAGACGGATTTAGAATTCTAAGTCAATTAGTGCTAAGAACATGTCACCCACTACTCATTTGCAACTATGAGTGTTGACTCACTATAAATATATATATCAACTAGTTGAGATCACGCTTATATAAAATCTTGTATATCCGTTTCATTCTTCTTGTGTCTATAGCAATAATGTATATATGTTAAAAGAAGGATTTAAATCATATACACTGACAGTTTAGTTAACATGACTCATTATAGAGTGCGACTTCTAATAAGGTCAAATAAATTTTTTACATCGTCGGTGCATAGACTATATATACATGTATATTCCGAGCTAATAATTTCGTTTTTTTTTCTTCTAAAAATTCTACAGATTCACAGTGGGATTGGTGATGTTATTTAGAGGTGTGAAGGCAAATGAGCATTGCGATTGGTGTCGTTATTTAAGCTGTTTGCGTACATCAAGATGGAGTTGTTAAAATTAACTGAAGAGCTTTATGTGATTCTGTCGTTCTTTTTACATATAGACAAAAAAACATATTTTGTTCATATGCTACTATTATATTACTTTTATATGTATAGTGATTGTTGGTTTTGTAATTTGTGGTATGGATTATATATTGTAAATCTCTATACTATTTGCATTGGATCTATATAATTCTTTATGTTAAGAAAGGTAGCAAAAATATACATTTTTCTACTTAATGCACTGTGTGCTTGAGGAAATTATTACCCTCAAATACCCAGAACGATCTTATTCTCTGGTATAAGTGACAGTGCAATGTGAAAAAAAATCACACCAGAAGGTGTGATTTTATTTTTTATTACTACGATCGAGTTTTACAACAACTAGATCATTTATTTAAAAGCGAAAACTAGTAGACGCAGGATTAAAAGAAGCTGCGAACAGTTTGGATCTCACATCGTTGTGGGCTAAGTCTACATAAACCAGGCAAATTCTGTGCAGTTTGAAGCATTTGCTGCCTTTGTCTTCCTTGAACTTGCCCTGTTTGTTCCTCTTTTTGAACCACTTTCATTAGTCCCTCGCAACGGCACTGTGGGTCTTGTATCTGTTCAAGCTGATTGCAACATTGTTGAACCTCACGAGGGATTTGTTGGTCCTCATCATATTGGGACCTCTGCCTTAGAAACTGCTGGCACGAACGCAGCTGCTGTGCCTGTATTGTTAATTAACCCCGCCAAAATAAAAAAACAAATATTACTTCCGTTTCAATACATGTGAAGGTGATGGAATTCGACTTTGACATCAAATTTAAGAACCGTGAATTTGTGTGACCACAGAGTAAATATAACTCCACTCTGTCTGTCACTTTTCATTTTTCGAGAATCTGTTCATGCGCAAATTGCCAGTTTATTTGACTCTCGAAAAACGAAAAGTATCAGAGAGAAAGGAAGTAAAAAATTGGGAGGAAATCAGATAAAATAAAAGAGAACCTGTTGAAATTGCTGCTGGCAGCTTTGAGTTTGAGGGTTAAGAGCATCTTCAGCAATGGTGATGGTCATGATACGTGAGCTACAAACTGTGGCTGCCATAAAAAGGATGGCTAAAGAAATGGCTCCAACAATCATAATTCTACCCATGATTTTAGTTATATACTTCTCTTTTTTATTATTATGATGATTAATGAAAAGATGTGAGATGTTTGTTCTATGGAAATGCACTGAATTTATAGGGGATTAAAAGTGTTGCATGTTAAGTACGTGGCTGAGGAAAATTTATAGGTTTTGGCAGGTGGATATATGGTGTCTTCTTCTGCATGTTGTTATGTTTTTATCTTCCTTTCTGCTTTTAGTGGCGGAGCCAGGAGTGAACCGTTCCGTGCTGGAGTCAGAAATTTTATGTGAGCATCATTAGCATTGGCTCTTTCAAACCTCAAGGTGTCTAACATCACTGGGCAATAATATTTTGTTCTGTCAAAAATGTTCAAACTATGTTATTTAATCACTTCATATATTATTTTTATATCATTTTACTTATATACGGTATTATTAACATAGATACGCCCCTGCTTGCTTCCACTTAAGTGAAGAGACGAAAAGATTATCAAATAACACTCTTACAAAAGAAAATAAAAATAGAAAAATAAAATAATATATATATATAAATCAATTGGTTTGTTTGGAAATTAGAAACTGATTTTGGAGCTATATATAAAGAAAATGTTGATATTTGCTTGCGATGGTTTTGTAACACCCCAACTTAAAATAATAAGTTTCACATTAAGAATACATAAGAGATATTGTATATATAAATAATCACACATTATTTAATAGTGACACTTTTTAAAGTTGTCAGATTTAGATTCAAAGCAGACAATATCACTAGCGGATTGAACCATTACAAATTTCCTCGTCAAACTGACTTCAAAACAGATAATATCACTAGCGGATTGAACCATGAACACTAGGAACAATGGAGGAGCATTGCCTTGTACCCCTTTCACTCTTAGTTTAATTATATTCATATTTTAATTATTGAGCATTTTCTTTAGATTTGAATTTTAACTATTAGGTATATTTATTTTGTTTATATTATAATCACTTAATAAATCTGAATAATAGTTCACTTCATTCATTAACTGCTATAACTACTACCACTATTATAAACTACCATCATCCATATATATAACCACCAACTATATATAGTAATTATTACTATCAGCCACAAAACACTAATGTTAGCCCTAATTGAGACTCATGATAAGCAATTAAGCACCATCGCAAGCCAATATGCCATTATCAATTACTATATAATCCTTTAAAAAGCATTTTGCCGATATAATAGTATTAAATTGATTTATTAATTTATTATTTTTTCAGTAAATTTTTTAAAAATATATTTAGATATTGAAAATCAAAAATTAGTCTTTAATTATTTAAAAGTCAAATCCTCATAAAATAACTCAACAAAACTATTTAGTATATTTGATATATTTGTCTGTATATGCAATTTTGTACACATATTTATCTTTGGACGGTTAAATTTCATGTCCCTAATATATGCCTACATCGAAATATCCAGCGTCATAGGAGAAAGTAACGATGAAAGATGTATTAGGAATTTAGGTTTTATGGGTTAGATGGATAGATGGATATAATAGTTAAGTTAGGAAGAAATTTTAAATGGATATATATATATATATATATATATATATATATATAG